TGGCTCCCCTCCCCCCCCGCCGGCCCCGGTGATCCGGCATCTGCCGCCAGGTGGCGCTCGGCGCCCACTCTCCGAAGGCCTCCCGGCCGCTCAGCCCCAGTCCCAGCTCCCGCAGCATCTCCAGCGGAAAAGGACCAGGCCGCCCGTGCCCTGCCGGAGACCCTGGACACAGCCGCTGACCCTGGCGGTCTGGTGCGGTATGAGGCAGCTTCATATACATACACCCGACCGGAGACGCCAGGGATTTGAACCCAGAACCACAGATACTCCACCGGTGGTCACCTACAGCCCACAACTCAAGCCAGTCCAACCCGTTATTAGCCACCTAACTGACCCATGCTCCCTCTAAGCTGTGGAGTCTTGTGAGCAAAAATTCTACTTGGTGAGCTCCTGGCATTAAAGTTGTGAGCGAGCGATTTGCCTACTGCATTAATCAGTTTGCTCTGGAGCCCCATCCCTTCCTGAGCTAAGATAGAAATGCGTGAGCTGGAGGCTCAAAAACGGAGCTGGCTCACACTAGCTCAGCTTAGAGGGAACACTGCCTACAACACAGGCTTCCCTCACACCGGCACTGGAGGGCCAACCTTTTCTGTGTACAGAGATCCTGCTGACCTAAACCAGCTTCTCCCCCCCAATGACAAAGGACTTAACAGTCACAGGGACTCTGGCACCAAGGCCTGGCCTGCAGCAAACCCAAGACGCCAGCTTTGCTCTCAGACACGCATCCCAGCAGCACCATCAGTGGGCCCAGCAGCACCATCAGCCAGACCATCTCAGGTTCCCACGCCTGCTCATCCTCTAATCACGTGATTTATGCCGTCACGTGTCAGCGATGCCCTCCCACCCTCTGCGCGGGACAAATGGGCCGGGCCCTCCAACAAAGAATGAACGGACATGAGTCTGACATCAGGAACCACAATGTTCAAAAACCAGTGGAGGAACAGTTATCCTTCCAGGACATCCAGCTGCTGACCTAAAAGTAGCCATTCTCTTACAAAGGAATTTCAGAGGGAGATTAGAAAGAGAGACTGCTGAATTGCAACTGATTATTTATCATATGGCAGAGTACACACAGGAAGAATATAGTAATACAAAATACATAACCAAGTTGATATAATGGGCATTGCAGACCAATTGAGTAATCTCCCTAAATACTAATATCTGAATTTTCAATCCACTCAGTTGCAGCTGGGGAGAGTTCATAGATCTCCATCACATCTCCCTGGAAAGCATGATGCTCACATTACTATGACAGACAGAAAGCAGTTTGACAGGCTGCACCACAATCACATTCGGATCCTGGTATTTTGCCCCATTTAAACAACAGGGCTGCACAACTACCAAAGCCTGTTTGTATTTTATTAGCTGTCTCCCATACTTTACAAGGCAAGTCAAATCCTGCGGGCCTCCTGTTGGTGTTTATCAGGTTATGGATATCAGGTGGAACTGACTGCAATTCATGTTTGCAGCCATTCATTCCCTAGATCTAAATTTTGTGACAGCAGGATTTGTGCAGATCTTATTGCTGGGTGTCAGGACCTTAGTCTGGATAGGTCCGCGTCAGTCATGTCTTTGTGGATGGGCAACTCTGTTTTCGATTATCTTTCTATATTGTCTTTGTCTTTGGAGATGTGGGGGAGCGATGTGGCACAATGTGGGTAGCCAATAGGTCAGAGTACGTTCAATATATCCACTGATGGCTCTCATTGTTCTGTTCAGTTGGATGTTGCGTTTGTGGACACCAACCCCAAAGCTGAGCATCTAAGTGTTGTAGCAGACACACCCCAAGTTGTGCCGCATAATTTTTGGAGAATGTTGTTCCGTGTGCACTGCTACATTGGCAAGATGGTGTTTATAGTTCAACAAGGTCCTGTCAAAGGTAATGCCAAAGTACTTAGGTGTATGGCTGTTTATAAGTCAGGTGGCATTAAGGTAGACATTCAGTTCATAGCTGGCAAGATCGCTACTGAGATGTAAACAGGAACATGCTGCTTTTCCTGGACTTGGGATCAGCCGCCATTGACCGTAGTAGTCAGCCAAAATTTTGAGGTCTCCAGTCAGTATTTGCTCAGGTGTTTCGACTGATTCATGCCTTACTGCAATCACCATGTCATTGGCATAAGGAGACTTCCTGGATATAGTTTGACAATGAAGCTCAAGACAATCCATCCGCCTGGACTTAAGTGAGACCTAGGTTTCCTGTCTCATTACCAATGCTGATTTCTCCACCCCTATTCCCTCTCTGCATATCACACCTGCTAATGTCATTCATTCAGCCTCTGAAATGACTCCACTTTCCAGTATAGAGGACAGACGGAGTCCCATTCTAGCTGTATCTGAAGAAGTGAGTAGTGACTCAGGAAAGCTCCTCCCCTGCCACAAATGTGGTTAATCTGTCAGGTGCTCCTGGGAGCCTGGCTCTTCTCTCTCCCTCCTGTTTGCCTCCTCCAGGTGCCTGAGCAAAGAGACCTTCCTTCACAGCGCTGGGAAGGGGCAGGGCCCTTTGGGGGGATGGGGGAGGGGCTTCGAAGCCGTGCTGAAGCACCACCCTTTTACAAAAGAGGGGGCTGCAGTTTTGGGAAAGGTCCGGATTAATATTTTAGTTGCATGGGGCCGTTGCCGCGTGCCCAGCCTGAGCTCCTGGCTCAGTTTGGTCTCGCGGCCTGGAAAGGCGGGGCGGGGGGGAGGCTCCCTGCCCTCCCCGACAGCCGTGATTG